TTGCCAAGCGACGAAAACCCAATCCCGATGGCAAACACCGGGGGGGGCGTGCTCTTATGTTTTGCATGTCTTAGCGGTTAGACCATTGACCACGCGTCCTCGACAAGACGGAGCATTGTTCCCACAGGTTCGATCACCGATGGCCAATCGTTCCTTTCTACTTTGCCACAGGTGGCTCAAAAATGTCTTCCCTAGTCCATCTATCCTAACGATATCACTTCCCGTCTTCAAACCACTTCCTATTCCCCAGTACAGCTACCGTCTTCTCCTCTCTGTTCCATGCCTCAAACATTTCCTCACTGTACCTCCCTTGTATTTTTTCCAGCTCAGTCATGTACACTTCCCTCTCTCTCCTTTTCGTACAACTGACATTCCTCGACTACATGAACACGGTCTTCGCACTCAAAGTCGCAATCACATCTGTATCTATCTGAACTTACTTGTCCTTTTCGTCGTCTACCGTCCCATCTCTCGTCGACGTTCAAAGGCCTATCTATGTCCCCGGGGTCCTGAATATGCATCCATTGGTCCATGTAGGAAATCCTTGAACCCTATTCCTTCCTTCAACATTCCGTACACTTCTAGACCCTCCTTATCCGTGGATTATTTCCTTTGATTCTGTTCTTCTCTCTCGGCACAAGCAACAGATATATTCTCCTTGAACCCCTGTAGACCCTCCGTTTCCAGCGTTTCATCTTCTTCGTCGATTTCGAGCCCCTTCCATACGTTCTCTTCAACCTTGACCCATTCCGTGGGTTGTTTACCCCTCTTTTTGTTGGCCGACTTCGCCTCCCATACTGTTCTCGGCAACCTCTCCTCTCCCATCCCGCACATGCGATACCGCCATGTCAGCTTCCTTGCGTCTCTTCCCGACCGTAGGGATTGGATCCCCAACTCTGCCCTGATGGCTGCATTACTTGTGCGCTTGGAGCATCCTAGGATGATTTTCGCTGCTTTCATCTGCGCCGCCTCGAGTTCTTTCACTACCTCCGTATTTTCTTCCCATACTTCTCCGGCGTACTCCTCGGAGAGGGGGTGTACTCATAGTCGTGCATGCCGTACGTAGTCATTAGACCATTGACCTCGCATCCCTACAAAGAAAGCCTGGACGGAGCACGCCGGGTTCTCACCGGACCAGGCTCTCACATCACTGAGCACGAAGCGCCGTGAGGTATTCGGCAAGTCACACGAAGGGTGCGCTGCAATCTGCTAAGGGTGTTTGGCATCTTGTTTTGCCTATTTCCTTGCGTACGGATGACAGTTGCGTATGACTTGATTTATTTCCGGTGCTTTCACTTCCAGAGACAGTTGTAAGCACTGTGTAACTGCCTCGACGGTGCTTAACCAATTTAACACAACGTGGTGCGATTATCCCCGTTGCCCGGAGTGAGGGTTCTCGACCCCGCACAAAATAATCTACTCGACCACCATTCATGGCTACCGAAAAAAACACACGAAAGGCGAAAGAAAGCGGTAATAACAACCTGGTTGCCGAGCTCACGAAGTGATCGGCTAGTTTTACAACATCGCTGCCAAGCGATGAAAACCCAACCCCGATAGCAAAGACCGGGGGGGCAAACCTCGAGGGGGGGAGGTTGCACCCCGAAGTGGGCAGGAATTCCCGCATCTCGGCGAGTAGCGTTATTCCAAGTGACACGGTGGGCTGGCAGCATAGACAATAAAAATTAATTGTGTTCAAGGTCGATCACGGCCTCCCAACCTCCCCACTCAACCTTTGGTAGGTTGTGATCGGTGCACAACCTACACCTCAAGCGAGGGGGGTTGTTGTACTGCACTAGATGGAGCACTCGCGCGAACGGTTGTTGGTCGACCACTGCTGCTTATGGTCTGTCTTCTTGTGGGCGAAGCACGAATCCCAAAAGCGAAGGGCCGAAGAGCATAACATGATAGTTACGATTCTAACAGGATTCCTTGCGCCATGAGGTAGGGGCAAAGGTGCATAATATATGCTATCGTCTGGTGTTTCCCGAAACAAACCATATCGCAGACGTACGATAAGACCATCGAAAGCAAGACGGGCCGATTGTAGGCGAAGGGACCAGAATTATGTAATTTCCCTGGGCTGCTACAATACCCGACAACAACGGCAAGGACGTATGATCTCAAGTTTGACCCTAAAAGG